GCATAGTAACTATTTCCTTATTTGTTTCTCTTAAGTAAATTGCTTTCTTGTGGAGAAACTGACCTTATTTAGGCACTTGCACTTTCCAAGATTAGCCTATATGCTATCCTCATTTATGAGGTTTTGAAATTTGATTTCTAAGTCTCATTTTTGAAAAAAATTTCCTTGATTTTAAAAATATTTGCCTGAGATTTAATAAAATTGACCCAAGCCAAGACAGGGTCTAAAAATGGAGAGATCTATAATAGGAGACCCGTTTTATCTAACAAAAGTTTAGACATCATAAGAGGAAACAGTTATCACATCTTCTTTTTAAACAGCAGGACTGCCAGGTGTGGTGGTGCATGCCTGTAATCCCAGCACTCAGGAGACTGAGGCAGGAGGATCACTGTGAGTTTGAGACCAGCCTGGGCTACATAGTTCCAGGTAAGTCTCAACTACATAGTGAGATCCTGTCTCAAAAAGCCAAAAATAAATAAATAAATAAACAGCAAGACTGAAAGCAGAACCTGTGAATGTACTTGGGTGGGTTCCTGAGCTTCCATATTAGATAACTGGACTGTCTGAATGGATAGATAACCTGCTAAATGTCTATCGGTTTTCAAATTCTATTCCATTCCCCTCTTCAAGTAGAAAATACATGTAATCCCAGGCTGGGGATTTAGCTTACTAGTGCCACCGCCTGCCTGGCAAGTGCAAGGACCCAAGTTCCATCCCCAGTACAAACACACACACACACACACACACACACACACACACATATTGGATTAATTTGAATTGAAGGACTATTTCTATAACTAGAAAAAAAAGTAACTCTTTAGATGAAGGTAACACCTACTGATAAACATTTAGCATGTGGCAAATGCCTATAATCTCATATATGAGGAGGCTGAGGCAGGAAGATCACAATTTACATTCCTTGTGGAGAGTTAGTATGTGTACAAAATATTTCTTAATTCCACAATACATCTTAACTCCATTTTTCATCCCTTTTCCCTTCTGCAGAGAATTCCTCTTCAGCACTGTAGGGGTGCCAGTACTGAGGCCCCACACATCTCCAGATACACTCATTCCATAGGTGATCTAATCCTGTCCTGTAGCCTTAAATGCCGTACACAGACTGATTTATCCTGTCCCAACCTTTACCCTAAACTTCAGACAAATATCCAGCATTCAATATCACTTAATTGAAAGTTCATAAACTCCTTATTTTATGGAATCCCCTCAGTCTTCCCCCAACTTACTATTTCCATTCTTTCAAAAATCTGGCTCTTCTCTCCCATTCCATAGCTGATAATGTGTCAGTGCCCTAAACATTTCATTTGCAAAATACGTAGAGAACCTGACAACTTCTTACTACCTCCACCTCTGATGCTGTAGCGAACAGTGCTGAAATGAATTACTACAAACCAAGTTATTTCAAATGACTCAAATGTATTAGAAATTGGCCTTGCCATGCTAAAATAAGATGTTGACAAGGCTGTGTATGGAGGTTCCCCTTTCTGGCTTTGACCAGCTTCTAGGGGCCACCATGATCTGTGTCTCATTATCCTCTCAAGTCATTTTCACCTTACATTGCTCTCACCTCCTCTTCTACCTTCTTCTCACTTTAAGGACTCTTTTCATTATTATTAATTTTATTGGTATATTTTGAATTTTAATTACTAGATTATCCAATAGTCTCCAAATGGGTTTCTCTACTTCCACCCTGGCTTTTTTGTTTTGTTTTGGTTTGGTTTTTGGTTTTTTAAGATAAGGTCTCACTATGTAGTTGAGACTGACCTGGAACTCACTATGTAGCCCAGGCTGGTCTCAAACTCACAGTGATCCTCCTGCCTCAGCCTCCCAAGCGCTGGGATTACAGGCATGCACCACCACATGCAGCTCACCCTGGCTTCTTCATGCCTACCCTACAATTCTCCCACAGAGACCAGAGTATTTCACATAAAACTAAAGTGTGACCATGCTGAAGATGTAGCTCAGTGGTAGAGCACTTGCCTAGCTTGCATGAGGCCCTGTGTTCAATTCTGAACCCTGAAAAGGTAATAACAACAATAATAATAATTAAATGTAATCATGTGACTCCTTGGCTAAAACTCTATAATGCCTTCCCATCTTGCTCAGTACAAAGCCAAAGTTCTCAACAGAGCCTACAAGGGCTCTGCTAACTCTTCTACTCGATGTCTTCCATCTTCCTACCCTTCATCCAGTTCCAGTCACACCAGTCTCCTTGCTGTTCTCTAACTCAGGCAATTCCTCACCTCCCAGGCCCTTTACACTTCTTGGGCCTGGAATCTTTTTTGCCAAGATATCCTTAAGACTTATTCCCGAGCTCTGCAGGTCTCTGCTCAAATGCTATTTGATAGGGGAAGTCTTCCCTGTCCAGATTACTCTATCTAAAATAGCATCCCCTACCCATAACATTCTCTATCTGCTACAGACTGGATGTTTGTGTTACCCTTAATTCCATATGTTGAAGCCCTAACTCTCAATGTGATGTTATTTGGAGGTTTAGCCTTTTAGAGTTAATTAAGTCTAGAGGAAATTGTAAGTGTAGAGCCGCCATAATGGGATTAGTGCCCTAATAAAAAGAGTAGAATTATCTCTCTCAGCTCTGTATCCAGCAAAACAATGGCCATCTGCAAACTAGAAAGATGAATTTCATTAGCTAGCACCTTGATCTTAGACTTTCATCCTCAAGAACTGTGAGAACTAAGCATCGTAGCTTAACTACCAGTCTATTTTGTTATAGCAGCTCAAGTTGACTCGGACATCATCTTCAACTCTTCATTTTCTTCATAGCACTTGTATACTTGTTTAGTATTTAGCTCTTTCCAGAATAAATTATATGCTTTATTCTTTCACTGTTTTCTTAGCATCTGTATACTGAGATTCACAGTAACATTCAATAGATACTGGATGACTAAATGGAATCTAACTTTTTAACTCTACTGGTACCTACTGCATAGTTGACTCTTTGTGTCATTACTTCACAACAGCTTTCTCCTCCCCAGAAATGGAAGTTACTAAATTGTTGATGACTAACATAAGAATTATAGGAGTATAAGATGAAGGGCAATTTGTTTAAATTTAAGCATAAGATATAGAGAAAAATACTTACACATTTTCAACTTTGTGGTTACTGAAGTAATTCATTATGAGAATACTAACTGAGGGATGGGAGAAAAATACTTTTGATAAGTCTATTTTTCAGGACAGGATAAAGGAGTTTTGTTTGTCTGTTTTCATTTTTTGTTTTTTCTGACCCTGAGCTGTGGTAGCTTTAAGCTGATAGAAAAAAATTCTGATCTGCTATATGTTTTAGTCCTTTTGTTAGACAAAATATGAGGAAATGTGGTCTGTTTTATAACGTTTTTTGGTTTCTAAATGGCTATTTAAATACATATAACAGTACACAGACAAACTGGAGGAACAGGTTCTGCTACCCTACCCAGTTCACCTGATACTTGATACATCCACTCAGATGGCAGAGCCAGCAATGCAGTGTGGTGCAACGTAGTTGGAAGTTTGCCCAAGCTGACCCCTAAATGCAAGAAGCAGCCTTCACGTTGAGAATTGTGGGGGTTGGGACAAATCATTCACTGACAAGTACCGCTCATAGAATTTCAGAACATAGTGAAAAATGGAACCCCAGACAAAGGGAATAGAAGAAAAGTTAACATAAAGACACTCTGTAATATGTAAGATTTTCTTGGAAGATCAAGCCAAGTAATGTAAAATATTTTTTCACCCCAGTTTTATCTGTAGAATTTAAATGATTTACTTTTGCCAAATAGTTTACTTGGATTCTAGCAAAAAAAAAGAGAGAGAAAGCTCTTTTTCATGTGGTGCATGACATTTCCTTAAAACAATTTATCTTTCTTATCAAAAAAAAGTTGCTTTGGGGTGGTTATTCTATTTTTACCAATAAAATTATATATTACACATACATCTATATTTTTGTAAGATTTATGGTCGATGTTTATATACATGTAAGCACAAACATTGACCAAAAATCTTACATTTTATGAAATTTTATATTTATATAATATAAATTTATACAATATATTTATAAACATTGACCATAAATATTTAAAATTACATATTACAAAATTAAATACTATTATGCAATATATGTATATAAATATTGAGAACAAACCTTAATTAAATGATCATTACAAACAAATGTGCTTAGCACCTGTTTTAATAGTCTGTGGCCACTGAGAATCTGCGTTTTCCTAAGGCAACTGGTTAGGCCACCTCTTCTGATTTTAGTATTCTGGCAGGTAAAGTAAAAATTTTGTATAGTAACAAAATTACAGTCTTCCAGGACTGAAGAAAGTTGAGTGATGCATAGAAATAGTCACCAAGAGACCAGTTTTTTTGTGGGGGGGGCGTCCACGGTGGGTACTGGGACTCAAACTCCATACCTTGCGCTTGTGAGGCAGGAGGAGGAACCATTGAGCTAAATCCCCTGCCCTAGAGACCAGTCTTCTGGGCTTAGAATCCTCAAATGACTAGTGTTTGGAAGATTCCCACAGGATTCCTGAAGTAGAAAATTAAACTTAATTTTTTAGAGCCTTCCTTTCCTTCTTACAAAACTAGGGCATTGTATAATTTTAAAGTAGCTAATTCGTTTCTAAGTCACTTCCTGACCTACATACTTCAAGGCTGCTATAAATACTTTAAAAGTTGATGTACGTGTGTATGCAGATACCTCTCCATAAGTACCTATATACACACACACAGCTCCATTGTGAAAAGAGGAAGAGCTATATACAATGTTTCACAGCACTACTTTACAGTGCATCAAGATTGTTTATCAAGATGTTCTTGTTCCTGGAAAAAAACAAAACGAAACGTAAATTTCTGTGTGGCATTCGGTTGCAGAAGGAGCTCCGAACAGCCAGGTTTGGGAAACAGTTCTATGTCCTCCCCATTCAGGCTCCAGGCTCTTCAGTTAGGATACAAGGCAGTGGTTGAGGGGACCACATCCCAGCTCAACTGGGGACCCAGCGGAATTTGTAACCTCCACTGGCTGTCCGGATGGTGAAAGCATTGCCCTGGGGGAAGGCAAGTGTTCGGATGGTGCTATGGCTGCGGATAGGGGTGCTGAAGGAGCCTCCCTCCTCCAGCTCACTTTGGCTCAGGTTCAACGGACTCGAGATGCAGTTGGTGCGCAGTCCCCGGAAGGCTCCGTGCAGGTTACCGGGCCTGCCGTCAATGCTCGCGGGCTCCAGCTGCACCCGCGGTCGCTTGGGATCTCGGTTCTGCAGGGCTTCATCGCAGCGCTGGGAAATCTCCCTCAGGATGGCGTCCACTTCCGCGCAATCCTGGCCTGCCGCACTGACCAGCTCCTCTAGGCTCCTTTTGGCTGTCGCCTTGAGCAGGAAGGTCTCGGCCTCGGTCCCGAAATCTCGGGATTGTGTGATCATCAGCTTCTACGAAAGATGAGGAAGAGCGCCGCCCTGGGGCCGGCCAGCCAGACTCTCCCCTTGTGGGGGACGCAAAAGGAGACCTGGGTGCCCTGTGCACCGCGAATCCAATTGGCTTCTACTTTCCCAAACCCCATCGGGTCCCGACATTGGCAGCAGGTGCGGGGGTCAGGGAGCCATGTAAAGCATTCCAGGGACCCGCAGCGCCCCACTTACATCCAGCACCGCGGCCAGGTGCCGGGTCCGACTGGCGAGTTCTTTGAGCTGCACGTTTCGCTCCTTCAGCGAAGCGATCTCCTCCTGTTTCTGGGTTAGCGTCACGTGCAGCTGCAAGAGGAGACCCCAACAGGGATAGACCACCGAGCTCTCTGTCGTCTGCACAAATTAAACCCAGACCCTGGGGTCTCATCAGGAATTGAGGCCTCAGGGTCATTTACTCTTGAAAATAATTTATTTGACTTTTTTTTTTTTTTTTTTTT